GAGGTAAGGACCTCGTGGCTCCGCCGGGCCCCGGGCTGGGAGGTAAGGACCTCGTGGCTCCGCCAGGCCCCGGGCTGGGAGGTAAGGACCTCGTGGCTCCGCCGGGCCCCGGGCTGGGAGGTAAGGACCTCGTGGCTCCGCCGGGCCCCGGGCTGGGAGGTAAGGACCTCGTGGCTCCGCCGGGCCCCGGGCTGGGAGGTAAGGACCTCGTGGCTCCGCCGGGCCCCGGGCTGGGAGGTAAGGACCTCGTGGCTCCGCCGGGCCCCGGGCTGGGAGGTAAGGACCTCGTGGCTCCGCCGGGCCCCGGGCTGGGAGGTAAGGACCTCGTGGCTCCGCCGGGCCCCGGGCTGGGAGGTAAGGACCTCGTGGCTCCGCCGGGCCCCGGGCTGGGAGGTAAGGACCTCGTGGCTCCGCCGGGCCCCGGGCTGGGAGGTAAGGACCTCGTGGCTCCGCCGGGCCCCGGGCTGGGAGGTAAGGACCTCGTGGCTCCGCCGGGCCCCGGGCTGGGAGGTAAGGACCTCGTGGCTCCGCCGGGCCCCGGGCTGGGAGGTAAGGACCTCGTGGCTCCGCCGGGCCCCGGGCTGGGCGGCTGCAGGTTCATCACAAAACGCCCCAGGTGGCGAGCCCAGACCCCACTTCTCGAGCTGCTGTTTTCTGGTTTTATGATATCAAACAACTGAAGGTTCCAGGGATCAGTGATTCTCCAAGTCGGACAATCAGTGAGTGGCGGTCCTTTCCCAGCGAGACCTGAGCCCCGGGTCAAACCACAGGCCTCACTGACTGACCCCAGGGCAGGACTGATAGCAGCTGGGCAGGTGACGGGGCCTGGACAAGGGGCTTTCTTCCTTTTTTTTTTTAATTTATTGATTTGAGAGAGAGAGAGGAAGGGGGACAGAGACACACGCACTTTGATTTGTTGTTTCACTTATCGGTGCATCATTGGTGCCCTGACGGGGGGAAATTGAACCTGAAACCTGGGCCTTTTTGGGACGATGCTCTAACCAGCTGTGCTACCCGGCCAGGGCCTCGGGCAAGTGACCCTTGGGGAAGGATCCCAGGCCCTTTAGGGACCGAGGCTGTTGAGCCCTGAGTCACACAAGGGGCACCACACAGTGAGGGGAGGCGGGGAACCTGTGGGAACCGGGTGTGTGTTGGGGTGACCGTGTCAGACACTGTGTCTGCACCTTTTGTTCTGGGCGAGGGCGGTGCCGTGAGCGCCAGAAAGAGGGCGTCTCCAGGTGGAGCACCCGCTACACAGTGCGGGGCGGGCGAGAGCTGGGACCGGGGTCGCCGGAGGCTGAGCCATGAGCAGGGTCCTCCCTGAGGCGGGAAAGGGACGGAGGGGACACTGACCTCTCGCACGTCCACCCGAAGCCTGTAGCTGATGAACGTTGGCAGGTACAGAAACATGATGTGATTCGTCCAGGAATAAGCGAAGCAGCTGAGGGAGATGGCCCAGACGGGCAGGGACGTGAGCACGGCCTTGATGGGCACCGATTTCCCCCCCGAGCCGACCTGGGAAGGAAGGAGCCCGTCAGCGGGCCGGGCATCGGGCTGAGCGGGGGCAGGGCTCCCACGGCGCAGAGCCCGCGTCCTACCTGCTCGGGGAGCGAGGCCGTGATGAGCTCCTTCTCCCCGAGGCTGATGCACGGGTGGTCCTTCGGGTCGTCATAAAACAGAACGAACCAGGAAAGGCTCAGGGCGCAGCCGCAAGCCCCTGTCGAAGCGGACGGGCGAGAATCAGAGCGGCTTCTCTCTGGCGCGCCTCTTTCCCAAACTGGCGCTTCTCCTGGTCACTACGAGAACCTGGACTTCCTCTTTCTCTTCTGAAACTTTGCAACAAGGCTCATGCCGGTCCTCTCTGTGCCCCTCCCTAGAGCGAGGTACAGAGACCGTGGGGAGCCCTCCGGCCTGTCCCCGCCGCCTGGCCTCTGCTGCCCTCTGCCCGTGACCGTCAGGCTCCCTGCTCCCAGGACCTCCCAGGAGAGGCTGGCGCAGCGGAGCCCCCCCGGGCTTAGCCACGCTCCTGAGAGCCAGCCCAGGCCTAGGGACTGTGCAAGTCCTAGAGGAGTTTGCCAGATTACGTGCTGTTTTTGAGTTTTTATACAAATAACCTGCTCATAGGGAATCCTCTGTGAGACGGGGAATGTGGAGTGTTCATCAGTCAGTCTTCCAGAAATAAGTTTGTTGATTTGCCAAATATTGATCGAATGCCCGTTAGGCACCAGGCACTGCTCTGGGATCTGGGGGCGCAGCGGACGGAGCTGCCAGCCGGGGCGCTGAGTCCCGAGCCCCTGAGACCGCAGCCCCAGGCGCATCAGTGGCGCTGAGCACGGTGCTTGTGTGCATAAGAAATCAGTGAACGTTGACGCCTCTCTCTCCTTCGTGAAAGTCATCATTTTTAGCATCGTTAACTTTACCTAAGTTATTATATTATATCCAGTTTTTAATTCTGTCTTAAACTCTAAGGGCTGGGATTTCACAGAAGGAGACTCACCGAAAATGTAGAAGACCACGGGCCAGCCCAGGGCCTGGCAGATGTGCCCCGTCGCGAACAGGGCCACGGAGGGCCCCAGCATCAGCCCTGGTCAGAGGCACAAAGAACAGACCTAGTGAGCGCAGGCGTCTGAAAGGAGACACGGCAGCCTCGCGGCAGCCGGAGCGATCTCCGGGGAGAGAAACCCGCGCAGGCGACACCCGTCAGGAGAGAGTGAAATCGTTGCTCTTTTGTTTCCTGTTGAGACGAGCAAGCCTGTCCATCGGTGCCGTTCCCACGTCTTTAAAGCAAGGACAGTGCGAGCCCCCGACCGGAGGTCCGGGCGCCCGTGGTTACCTGACAGGCTCATGGAGGTGAGTCGGCCTCGTTCCGCGGGAGGGGCCCACCTGGTCCAGACCGTGTGCTGTGCCACCAGCACTGTGCCCTGCGGCGAGAGCGGGAGGGCGGTCACGCCGATGCCCCCTGGGGCCGGTAAAGCTGCCCGGCTCCCCGCCGCATACCTGGCTGAGCCCCTGGGCCACGCGGCAGGCGAGGACCAGAGACGCCCCCGCGCCGGCCGCCAGCGGCAGGAGCAGGCTGAGCAGGGAGCTGAGCAGCAGCCCGGAGCCAACCATGTTCTTTATGGGGTAGATGCCGGACAGGTACCCGACAGGGACTTGGGCGACGAGCATCCCGTAGGTGATGGAGCTTAGGATGAGCCCCTGGATTTTGGGGCTCCAGTTGTACACGGGGTTCTGAAAGGGAAGGGGGCATCTTGCCGCTCTGCGTGTTCGGCGACGTGGGGACACCGGCCTCCCGGCTCACCCCGTGGGAAGGACGTGCCCTCTGCCCAGCGGGCTCCGTTGTGGGACCTTCTTTGCTCCCTGAAGGCAGCACTTTCTGGGTGTAGTTACGTTTTTAAAAATTTATCTTTATTGTTGAGAGTATTAGGGATGCCCCGCTTTCCCTCCCCCACT